GCTGGGGCGGGACCAGGACGCGGGGCGGGGCCCACTCGGGAAAACATTCCTGCCTCCGCGCGTGTTTGTCCTGCGGGATGGGGAGGGCAGCAGTGCGTGTTCCTGAGTCACCGGGTTAGCCTGCAGGGGCTGCGGGGGCGTGGGTGTGAGAGAGGCGAGCCCGTAGAGACGCAGAGGGAGACAGCTACGGGAGAGACAAAGACGAAGATGGAGAGACAGAGACTCTGAGACACACGAGGAAAGGCGGCTAAGAGACACAGAGACAGAGAGAGATAGAGAGATCTGAGAGATACCGGGAGAAATGGAGCAGCTCAGGGGTCAGAGACTGGGTGGGAAGTTCTGGCCTGCGTGTCCGTGCCAGCCAGGTCCCTGCACTGGGCATGCCCAGGTGGGATTTGTCTGCCCTCCAGACTGAACTCCCTGAGAGGCTCAGGGGCAGGGTCTTCACTGAGGCGTGGGCATGGGGAGGCATGTAGGTAGGGGAGCAAGTGAACGCCTGGGAATGCTGTGCTACAGGTGTTGGAGCAGGGGGGTGGATGGGGTGCGGGGGGCGGGAAGGTGGCTGATGGCGGATGGACACATGAGCACATCTGTGGCCGGCTGACAGGGGCATGGGTGATGACTGAGGCCAGCACCCTGTGCCCAGCGTTCAGAGCTGCATGTCCGAGGTGGGAATGGCGTGGCTCCGTTTACACCCACACCTGCTCATCATTCACAGACACACCCAGGGCCCACTGGGAGGCACCCTGTGCCCTGGATCCTGAGAATAGCACAGTGAACCTTCACAGACTCAGAGCCAAGAGATGTCATTGACAGATGGGGAAACCGAGGCTGAGTGGGTCAGCAGCTTCCCCAAAGCCCCACACAGGACACATCCCAGGGCTCCAGTCCCTGTCCCTCTGCTGCCATAGACCCAGTCCTGCAGCCAGAGCCCCAGGTGGCACCTTTAAATAGCACCCGGTGACAAGCCTGACCTGATGGCGTGTTGGAGGGGTAACCGGTCTGGCCAGAAGCTGGGATGCCTTCCTTGTGGCTCTGGGGATTCCCTGATCTCTCTTCCTGGCCCCAGGAGGGCCATGCGTGGTGTGTGCCCCCTCCCATCTGGGAGAGGATGTCCCCCACACTCAGAGCCCTGAGGCCAGTGCCTGAGGGACCCTGCATGCTTGTATCAGGTCCCCAAGCCTCGGTGTCTCTGGAAAATGGGCCGGGAAGGGAAGGCTGGAAGGACAGAATGAGGGAATCCGTGACCTCGCTGGGCAGAGGGTGCAACACACAAACTTGGAATAACATCCTGATTCCCACCAGGCAACACTCAGTCTTCCCTTCCTGGAGTTTCCCCACCCTGCCCCCCAGGAGGACAATCTTCGGGCTCTGCGTGACGGGGGTGGGACCCACGCCCAGGAAGCTGTCCTGCCCCAGGCGTTGTTGCAGGTTAATAACAGCTTCATTGAAATATATAGTTCAGGGGGCGCCTGGGGGGCTCAGGTCAATGATGTCTGCGGTCTGTGAGTTCGAGTCCTGTGTCGAGCTCTGTGCTGACAGCTCAGAGCCTGGAGCCTGCTTCACATTCTGTGTCTCCCTCTCTGTCTGCCCTTCCCCCACTCATGCTCTGTCTCTTTCTCTCTCTCTCTCTGTCAAAAATAAATAAACGTTAAAAAAAATTGAAATATAATTCACACATCACACAATTCCCTCATG